AAAGCAAATGAAAAAATACCACGAAATTTCCTACTGTTTTGAAGGTAGTTTTTTCTTGATTGGGCCTTCATTTGGTTGCTGTAGACGACCTTTGTATCTCAGAACTCCTGGTAAATTAGTTCTACCAGTTTCTGGGTTTTTTGCTGTTTCCTTGGAGAAAAAGGGCTTGGAACTTCCTAGTCTGCCATTTTGCTGACATGGTTTTTTTACGCCTGATTTCCTAGGAATTTCCCCTTTATCACAGCTTATTGTTCAGTAAGAGTTTGGTCATAGGTTGTATTTAAGCCATTTATGCCAGGGAGGCTTTCAGCCTGTGTTGATGGGTTTGTGTATGGATTAGGGAATGCTTTCAAATCCACTCCACGTTCAGCCCTGATTTCTCTTGAGTGGATGCAATCGAATGTATGTACACAGCTTCCCAGATCCCCAGAGTTAACCATTATCCCAGGAGTGCTCCTGTTTATCTTTCTCTAGTTATTCCATTAACCCTCTGGCTAGTAACTGGTAACCTCTTTTTGTTCTCCTTCCAAATGTCTGTTGTTTCAACAGCGGTCTTAGGCATTATTCTGAATAAAGTCAGTCCTTTCCCTGCAGAGTATGGAACTTTTTATTTTCATGTCCTGCCTTTCTGCCTAGGCAGAACCTCTGTGTGACTACACCAGGGCTGCAGGCAGAGACCTGCTTTTCCCAGAGTGACACCCGTGCTCTTTATGAGTGAGCAGTTGGGGGTATGGCAGCCCCTGGTCTTCACAAGTTGCCTCTTTCAGCACAGAATCTCCACTCTCAGACAATTCTAACCAAGATTTAATAGATTTTTCTCAAGTGACTATTTCACCATATATTTATGCCCTTAGGACAATTTTCTGAGAGTTTAAATAATAGTTTTTTTAAAATAATTTTCATTAGTTAAATTGATGTTTTGTTGGGGAAATTGTCTGCTGAGCTCCTACTCCACTTTGCCAGAATCCTGTGCCCATGCTTTTGTTTCAACTTTTCTATATCGTTACAGTCTAGATATGTCTTTTTGTAAATAGCATTTTTTTCTAGTTTAACGACCTTAGCCTTTTAATTTGAGCATTGAGTCCATTTACATTCATTGTAGTTTTTGGTACATTGGATTTATTTTTGTTTATTCTACCTTATTTTGTCTTGTTTTCTTTCTTTACATTGATTATTTTCTCTCATTTTTTCCTTTTACTAGTTTAGAAATTATACCCTCTACTTCTCTTTTCTTATCAGTTACAATGAACTTTTAATGTGTACTTAACTTATCACAAGATAATACAAGAACCTTAGAACACTTAACTTTGATAAGACAAAACAACCTAGAAACTATGGTTGTTATATAGTTTAGTTCTGACTTATGCTTATTTTTTACCCCACAAAAATTGGTGTTATGTTTTATATAGTCAGTATTCGTTCTGCTTTTCCAAAAATTTAAAAATTTTCTTTGCTTATCTTTATTCTTTCATCTCTGATTCTCTCCTTCTTTCTGCTTAAAGTACATCGTTTAAGATTTCCTTTAGTAAGGCTCTGTTGATGGGAAAAAAATCTGTCAGTTTTACCTACAAATGTTTTGGGTTTTTTTTTTTTTTTCGCTTCTGTTTTAAAAAGATATTTGTACTGGAGTATCATTATAGGTCAACAGTTATTATTTTCAGCACATCGAAGATATTCCATGGTCTTGTTTTCTAGTTGCTATTGAGAAATGAACTTCATTTCTTTGAAGATGATTTTTCTATTTTCTTTGGTTGCCTTTAATATGTCTTTGTCTTACTATATGCTGAGAATGGATACTGAAATGAATGTGGTATGGATTTCTTATTGTTTATACTGCTGGGAATTTATTGGATAACCCGAACTTCAAGGTTGCTGTCTTTCTTCAGTTCTTTAAATTTTCAGTTATTATCTTTTCTAATATTGCTGCTACTCTATCTCTCCTCTCCTTCTGAAACTCAAATACATAACAGTAATAATAACAGCTACATAATTCTTATAGCTAACAGTTTCATGGCACTAAGTACTATTGTAAATATTTTACATTAAATAATTTAATCCTCATTACAACCTCATGAAGTAGGTACTGTTATTTTCCCCATTTTACAAATAAAGAATATTAGGCAGAAAAAAGTTAAACACCTGCCAAAGATCACAGAGATTCTAATTGGTAAAATCCAGAGGTGAACCCTGATAATCTGATACCTGAGTCCCAACTATAATGCTCTGGAACTCTATTGCTTTTTGCTATTCTTCAGAGTTCATTATTGCCCTTTGATGCTTAAGTTTTTTGTTCTTTGTGGGTTTGTTTGGTTTTTTTTTTTTGGCTCTGTCCAAGTATTTGGGTCACTTTACATAGCTCTGGTTGTCAACTGAATTTGACACCTTAGCAATCAACTTGCAGTAGTCACAACAAAATTTAAAAGCAGTTTTTTGTTTTTTTTCATGTAGTTACACAGGTGCTGCTACATTCTCAGTAACCACTTTGTCAATGAGAATATAATCCTTATAAATTGTAGACATCCATTTCTCCAGTCCAGACTTTGGGCAGCTGAGGTCAGGATATTTTCAGACTATGATTCTTGTTTCAAGAATTCATGTCCTGTTTTTGGTTCTTTAAATAATGGGTTTGTTGACCTTCCAGGAGTGGTACAAATACTATGTTTAAATTGCTGATCTGACTTCATGTTTTAAATATTGTTTAAGAGGGCTAGTTTACTCAGACTAAGAAACTTTATGATATTCTTCAAAACGTCTTCAAACCTGAGTGGGAAATCCATGTTTGTTTTTGTGTTTATAACTTGTTTCTTATCTTAA